CCCCATCAAAAGTATCAAAAGCATCAAATCCATCAAATAGGCCATTTCGGGCCGGTTTTTCGGTCTAAAAGGGCGGCTTCGATACCTTTGACGCTTTTGATGCTTTTGATCGCCGCCGTGGGCGGTCCGGCATCCAGAGCATCGGCATCCAAGAGCATCGGCATAGAGCGCCGGTAGGGCCCCCCATCAAAAGCATCAAATCCATCAAGTCTAAGATGGTGGCTTTGATACCTTTGATGCTTTTGATGCTTTTGATCCCCGTCGCGGGCAGTCCGGCAGCCAGGAGCATCGGCATCCAGAGCGCCGGAGGGGGAGGGCCCCCCATCAAAAGCTCGCACAGCCGTCAAGCCTGCATGACCACGGCAAGATTTGGGCCGGGTATTTCTGTTGAGTGCCAACTGCTCTGCACCAAACACAGGTCATAACCTCCAAGCTGCTTCCTTTCAAAAACAGTCAACAGGACCTGACTGTGCCACACCTCAACCTCTTGCTCGGCATCATCATTGTCCGAAACCTGCAAGCATGAGCCCGCAAGCACGCGCCAGTGCGAACCATGATCCCGAAATGCAGCGCATACTTGTGATTCACGACATGACGACACCACTTGCAGCCGAAGCCTTGCACACACTTGCAGTCATTCAAGGCAAGCTCGGATGCGGTCGGGCCACCTGCCAACACCGAATTTGACAACAAAACGTCACTCTCAATCATTGCTCGACGTCATGTCGGTCAACTCTGGTCTCAGTGCGGGCGTTTATTTTGCTCCTCACTCGGCGCTGTCAGGGCCTGGTACTCCAGCAGCAAGACCTGAGAGATGGCGCAGGAAGGGTGGGATGAGGGCCACCAAGTCTTCTTGCTGCAACGAAAATAGGTCGTCGATGAAGCCTTTGGGAAAATTGGAGCCAAGCACCGCCAAAAACTCCACGTTCCGTTGCCTCACCGTTTCTGCTGCTTTGTGCAGCTTCTTCGACTGCTCTTCGACATCCTTTTGGTTGAGCAGAGTGTTGGACTTGACTTGGACGGCGACTAAACTTCCATTTTCCCGGCGGAAGATGACAAAGTCAAGGGCCATGCAGTTGGCGGGAGCCATGATGACCAGGAAAGGCGACGTGCCGCAGTGATTGATGCCCAGCTCTCGAGCTTCCCGCAGAAAACTTTCGAGCTTTTGTTGTGCCTCGTGCTTGTTTGCTGTTGCAAGGGCGGGATCCTGTGCCAGTGAGTCGTTAAAGCCTATATCCAGGAAGCTTCCACAGCTTGTTTTGAGAGCCTGTGGAAGCTTCTCATGCCCTTTCACAATAGCTAGCATAGCACCAAGAGCGCCTGTAACCTCCGTGAAATACGACGCAGCTTGCTTCATGTGTGTTACGTTGTCGCTTTCAATCGCCTTGCACTTGGCCCGATACGCTTCGCCCATCATGTGCTGAAGCTTGGCGACCCTAGGAAAGGACTCTATTGGGTTAAACGAGTTCTCGAACCAGGAGGCCGCATGCCAGGCTGCGACTGTTGGCATAAAAAGCCTCTGTTGTTGTGAGGTTTGCCTCGCCTCCACCAGCACGCTTCCCTGGTATATGCCCCGCTGCAGCGACTCGATGCGGCTGACTTGAGCCAGCTGCTGGTAGGGGCAAGCCCGTGAGTCCCACGTCTCGAGCAGTGCCTCGAGCTCGTCTGCCCTGAATTGGGGTGGGAGGTTCACTCCCATGTCCCCAAGCTTTGCAATGCAACCCATTATGGAACCTCCAGACGGGCCTTTGAATCTTGTTTTGTTCAGCTCCGCTGTCAGATACTGGACGGCGCGGGCATAGCCCGCCGTGGCTCCCCAAGCAAGGGAGATGCGGTAGGCCAAGATTGCATTCTTAGTCCTGTTTCGGTCCCAGACGGTGAGCACTGACTGAAAGCGACTGAACGTGTCAGTTCCGAGCACAATCAAGATTTGAAACTCTACTGTCCGCATGCTCGCGTTGAACATGTTCACAGCTCCCTCATAGTCGCTGAGCGCCGACATCACCACCGAGACCTGCCCGGCCCAAGAATCCATGAGCTGACAAAGTCGCTGTCTAGCGAGACCCTCGTCGTCTGATCTGCCCACCTCGTCGGCAAGGATTAGTAGAGGCCGGGCACCATACCAGTGGCGCAGGATCTTAACCACAAAATTGAGGTCGACAAGGCTCTGCAGCATGTTTTCAGATGAAACAGCGACATTGATGGCATCCAAGAAGGCCATCCAAGACTTGCAGCGCAATCCAGTGCTTGTCATGTGATGGGCAGCACCGAACAGAACCCGCAGACCCAAGTCCACCCCGCTGTTGCTCATACAAAATACATCGGTCCACTTGTCGCCCATGGCAGAGTTGTAAGTGAAGACAGAAACAATCGGCCTCTGCGATTTGCCATCCAAGTCCAAAAGACTCGAGATGTTCTCACCCAACTCGGCCAAGAAATGGCTCTTGCCAGAGCCGGGCGCCTGCGCTACCAGGAGCGCTGGCGACAAACTCTGGTCAGAGCTGGCCATCCCTTTCAAACGCTGTGCTCGAGCCACAATTTTGGTCACCATATCCTGCATCTCTGTGTCCCGATCCAAGAGTTTTGCTTTGTCTTTCCCAGGTGTGCTTAAAGCCAACTCACCATTGAATGGGCCCAAGCTGAGCTCAATGATGCAGCTTGGGTTTGCCGAGTAGCCAGCATCTGTCAGCGGCCAGCCCTCTGTGTCGTCGAACAGCAGCTTTCCAAAAAACTCAGCAGCCTGGGACACGTCAACCTGCAAGGGAATTCTCAGGGGGTCATTCTTGACACCGCCGTCTCTCTCCAAAACCCTCACATCAGCCCTACGACGTGCTGCAAACCCACACCTCTAGCCTC